CGCATTCAGCTTCAATTCATAAGATCAGAGGTGTTTGTTTCGAGTCGCAATTGATTGCCATTAACCAAATGCTCCTATACAGCCAAGTGCTTGAAATAGCCTCCGCCGAGGGAACCCTTCTCTTTGCCTGCACGTGGCAGAGGTTTCGNCCCGGTTCCGAACGAACTAAGAGGCGGTGTGGGAAACAAACCCACACCTTTAACCGCTCGATTAGACACATTGGACAGTTGACTCCATCTAAATGGTGTATGATCCGACGAGCTAAAAGCTAGCAAAAGGCAGGGGCGTCAAACACCTCTAAAACAAGCAATCTGGCGCACTTGATTTTGATTTACACAGTAACTACTCATGAGTAGTACAGAAAGAAAAGTGAAGTGGTGACTTGCATGCGCTCGAGAACAAAGTGAATCTCGTTAGATAAGAGAGAAGAAAACGCGCTTTGAAGTAAAAAAATATTCACGGTCTAAGGTGCTTTTAGATTGAATTTTACGGATCAATATCAAACATGGCTGGGAAAGTTAGGGAAAATAATCAATCTTTACGCACTCCATTAATTTGCTTGACGCTTGACATTTTCCGTGCCGTCGCCATAATCACCGTGGAGCAAAATACAGTGAAGCGAACTTCAATGATCGCTGCAAAACTCGCAATTCATACAAAGTTAGTGGTAACATGTAAGGTGAACAGGGATTGGACCTGTTTTTAGGGAGGGAGGGAAAGGAATCTCTATGGTCAACACACAGAGTACATAATTGAACTCTGCATACATACCGTTTCAAGAATTCTGGCCTGATAATAAATGATAACAAGAACGCCACTGCTGTCGGTTCGCTACCACATCCTTCAATGTCTCCAAAAAAACATTTGCAGAACCTTCCGGTCCCCAACCTGGATGGATATCTTCTACCCGCATCTCTCAACCAAAAAGCGGAACCGAACGAATAGTAGCACAATGTACACAACCTTTCAACTCCAGTGAAATGTCGCGTCTCAACAAAGGTGTTTCAGTTCCACGTCCGCTGCTCGATCCTTGGAAATGCGGGCGGTTATCTCCTTTACTGCGTTACCGTCATTGGTCACACAATTACTTAAATAGGAAAATCAATCCACCACAACTAGTTTCTGGCCATTTGGTTTCCCATGGGCAGCAGGCAAAACACAGTCTTGAGGCATCAACTGACACTTGGAAGATGCGAAGCACATAGTGAATGCGGTAACAGAAGTTGACAGTCGGTCCAGAGCACTTGGTGCGTCCTCCATACATTCGAACAGACAGACGGTTACAGGTATACTCGAAATTGCACAGCTTTTCTCCAGATGCCCATTCAATACCTACGCTTTAAAGATAACTTGGTGCGTTGTTCAGTACGTCGTCTAGGACAAAATTCAGCTGGAATGGGGAAAATGAGCACCCTGTAGAACGGCCACCTGGTTCGTTATAAACCCACACTCGAGTATAGTGCCCCCAGTAAGTTAACGTACTTCTCGTGCATTCCTTTTCAAAGAAGGGAACCCATCAGAGCTTAACGGCAGACTGAGTGGAAAGCTCCTTTCAGATAAAGAAACACTGCAATCTATGGGCGACGGTGGGTATGAGGCAGCTGAAGGACCTGACGCAACGTAAAAATTCGATCAATATATCCACGGTCAGACTAGAATCCGGCTTGTTGTTCACGGATGTCAGTCTCTCTTAAACGAGTTGGAAGCGAAGTATGATGGAGGCCAAAATTTTGGTGACGATTGGGATCAAAAATTGCGTTGAGTTCCGCAACCGTAGTGAGAACCTTTCTACAGGATGGGAACGATCGGCTCGAGATATATGAATGCGCTCTTGCGTCCAAATTTTGCGCAATGAGGTAGTAGTAGAGCTTATGAGGTTATCATCCCACCTTGAAAAGAGTGGGAGGGAGTCCGTACGGTTCCCATACGTTATCTCGCTTCAGAGCTTGAGTACAAAATCTAACTTCTGCTTCTGTCGAGGGGTTGCACGTTTTTGTCCACGGATCTTCAGTTGCAAAGCAGCTAATTAGGCTAGCATTAATCGCTTAAACTGATCTCAAGTTGAAGCGCGCTTAGCTCACGCACTAGCTCTGACTCAGCGTGCACATACTGCTGGAACAGATAGGCGGTAATGGCCTAACCGAGTTTGCTGGTTTTGTCACCGTTCAGAGAGTCGGAGAGTGAACTGCATCAAAACATGCGTGGTCAGACTGAACGCAGGTTGTCCAACGGGACTTGCAATTTTGCATTGAACAGCGCCAACGTTGGCTTACTGCTATCTGGTCTATAAGAATTAGCGTACCAGTTGAACTGGGGCGCCACTTAGCCATGCGTCGAGAGCTGTGCTGGAAGTCGGTACTGGATAGGAACAAGTGGTGATATGTGCAGAACCGAAGAAGTTGATCGCCGTTATATGTTCGCTTACAGGGCAGAGCATAACTACAGCCTATGCAAGCTTCCGATGCGCCCAGTTTTCCAATCTGCGCGTTAAAGTCACAGCAAGTGAAACTATGTCGGAGCTTCGACTCATCCGAATGAGATCGATCAGTTCATCGTGGAAAGCGTCCCTTTGTGTATGAGAACTGCAAATGGTCGGTGCATATGCCGATACGAGGAACAACCACCTTTCTGTGTTGCCTTCCTTCCGTAAACCGATTGAACCGTGCAGACGCATCGCACACAAGCGATTGTTGACCGGAATCCACTTCATAGGAGAGGTCTCGGTCCAGTTGCTGAGTGCAATACCTACCCTGCGCTGACCTACTGAGTGGGCTTCATCGTCGCCTGATGTGCAAAGAACGTATCTCGAGGACAAATCTGGAGCGCTCGAGTAGCTTATAGCAGTAGGATCCCGAGTTCGAGTCTCCGATACGCAGCAAATATCGATCCCTAAGGATTCCATAATACGCACCAGATAAGCTTGTTGATATAGATCCATCAGAGTGCTAACGCTGAAGGCCTTGGCGAGGCTTCATAATCTCTAATCCATTTCGTGGTATATTACTTACAGTGCTATTTGGCAACGACGTTTGGCGAGCGACAACCGAGTTGATTGAGGGACTATTACGGGTCGGAAGAAGCGACAGAGGAAGGGGCTGGGTACAGAGAACAAAGAATTAAAGAAAGACTGGGATATTTGAGCAGTAGCCCACTTATCACTAGCCACTCCGCTCAGTGCAATCGGCAGCGCGGTCCGGAATATCCTGTGCGACGGACGGGTACTGCTAGGGTGTCCAGCCACTAAACAGGAGAATGATTAGGGTTCTCTTCCAAGGTCTTTCGTTTTGACAAAAACATAACCGCAAGGCAGCGAGTAAACCGAAGTGAAGGACCAGTTACCTGGAACGATTATCCTCCATCATTCTTTTAAAGACCGAAACGCAAATTCTAGTCGAACCCTTAAACTGGAGACCAGACTTCGACTGACCTCTACTCTTCGACATTGTAGGCATGATTAGACCTTCGGTTTAACAAAAGCAATCCTGTGTAGTTTGTTGTGTCACAGAGGTGCACAAGAAATCCCACCACGTCAAGGTGCAGTCTCGTCGTGACGGATTTTGTGTATTGCATGATCAAAAACGTCAGAACCAGGAGGACTCCTTGAGAAGAACAACTGAAACCTGTATCTTTCGTTCATAGGAGTATGTTCGGGCGATACAGATATTTTTGCAGAGTAGCGATTCCATATTTGAAACACTACATTTTTACTGTAGATATGTAGTCCGAAGAGATATACATAAGTTCTACAATTAACCACCATGGCGAGGTGGAAATAGCCCCTTGTGTGATTCGAGGCGTTGCTTTCGGTTAGAGAGTGACCGATATAAAGGATAACAAATGCAATTACGAAATGCCTAGAGATTTGTCACAAAATGCACAAAACTACACAGGAACTACCGACTATTGTTTATTTATCTCATCTATGTTAGCCGACAGCATGTTTCTTTTCGTGCTGATTGTCTGAAGCATTCCGTTTAGAGTAATCAGACGATGAACGATATATCAAAAGAATGAACAGAAAAATGGGCAGAGCAGACAACTTACGGCTGTTCTTCTAGAGGCAGCATTTCAAGGGAGGATGGAATTAAGGAATGGATACTCGGTGAGACGCTCGCTCCGGTGGGTGTAACTTGGCTGACGGAAGATAAAGGTGCCGATGGGCTTGCAGTGAAAAAGGTATCTGTGTGATGGTGATGATGACCAACACGTTGTTGAGAGTCTGCGCCAGTGAGTACTGACAGAGGTTGGCCTACGGTACGTACGGAACCGGTAGAAGTTGGTTCATTAAGAGTAAGTGATGAAGGATCCACAAATCTGGCACCTGTAGGAAAGAAATGATTGCAGATAGAGCGCATTTACGAAGAAAAAAATCCAAAGGTTCTCATCAGTAGGACTTCAAAAGAATGTTGAAGTGATAGGTGTGCATGAGAAAAATAATCAATTGGGACACGATTTGCTTAAACGCAAATGAGGTGCTGATGTTCAAAGTGGCGACAAACGTCAAATAGGATAGGAAACTTACTTTGTGTAGGTTTTTCAACAGAATAAAAGAGACAATAAACTATGTTTTACTTTATACTTTATACATGTAGATGACACACTGAATGCAGTGACAGAAACAGAAACAATTCTAGTTCCAAGTAGTTGCAGCGTTAGCCCTTCGAACATGTCACTTCATTAGGAAAGAATATGTATATATACATATACATGTTTCTTTTTCGCCTCTAGGTTTTACTTTTCCAACGATACGAAGCCAAAGCTATAGTTGCAACTAAGAGACAAACCGTCTAATCTACCAAAGCCATCTTTTGTTATTCTCTATCTTGTAGGAAAGATGGGTAACCAGGTGATTATTGGGGAGATTTCAAAAACACTAACCGAAGTGGATATCAAAGAGAATCAATATGAATGGGAGTAGAGCCATTCTAGACCACGCATTAAACACATGTTACGAAGTGATGCGAAAGGGGGTTATTCAAGGTCACCAATCAGAGTTCTTTCGTATTTACCAATTTATAATGATTATTACTACTAATCCTGCACCGGTTGTATCACGATTTCGCTAGCTTTCAGGGTGAAGACAGCCAGACCAGTGTTTAACATCTATAATATAATATACTGCCAATTACAAAGTATAATGATAATAACTGTTTTCGATTAGCAGAAGCGACTGGCAGATTTCTGAGACGAGACAGGTAAAGCGTTCATTGGAAAGACGAACGTGATATTTCGAAGAGACCAGTTTATGATTAATAATGCAGGAGAAAAAGTGAATATGAGTAAATTAACGTGACCGAGATGCCACATTCCTCGGATGAACAAGGAAGAAAAATGAAACTGGTAGCTGAAAGAGGAAGAGAGCGAAAAACACGTGCTTACTGGTTAGCTCAGAGACAACTCGTCCGTGTCTGGCTTCCCACGAATCATCGTCTGTTGAGCCGTTATCAAGCTCGTTGGTAGGTAATCCGGATACGATGGTACCGGGCGATGCAGTCTGTTCACCGCGCTTCAATCGCGTTCCACTTGGTCCACTATCTGTGCCAGAACGCAGGGTTCCATTGATGTGTGATTGGTTCTGATGAGCGGGCACCTGAGGTGGTACGAGTGCAGGGGTTTTACAGTTGACGTTGTTCGCCTGTGTTTGGACCGTGCCGCCTCCAGTGGTGCTCGATCGATAGTAAGGCGAAACACTTGCGTTTGGATTGCTTGTTTTACGATTCACAATCGAGCCGGGCAAGGAATTGGTCATGTCCCCGGTCTCCGAGGCACCGTTCATAGCCAAACTCAAATTGAGCTGTACGTAGAAAGGGACAGAAGCGAACAAATCTGAAGTTAATTTGTTTGCGTGGAAAATACAACACAATGAAATAAATGAATATAAATGAGAGAGAGGGAGAGTTCTTACTCTAGTTAGACGATTATCCATGTGAGTTAGGTAGGTGCATGTTGAACTGCTTCGTTCCATGTCGGTCACGAATTCGCTATCTTGAATGGATTTAAAGAGCGATGCACGAAAGACTTTAGTAATGCTACCTACTGCATTATTGAAAACATTTTATCACCAGAGATGTATTTTTAGACTAAAAACGCAAACCCACTGGGATCTATTTAGTAAAATTTGATTTACCCTTTAAATAGAATAGCTCATTTGGAAGTAGATCATAAAATAGGAAACTGGGAAGCAACCAAAAACTCCGATTACAGCCCCCCCTTCAGTTTCGATGACGTCAGATCACCAAAACACAAAACCAATTCCACGTAATGCGAACTCGTTATTCATGTAGCGTCCTTTGAGAACCGACGAAGCACCACGTCTCTCTGACGCTCCAGTCCTCCTCCAACCCACCTCGTGCACAATGCCCGAAATCGATGACTCAGACAGACGTCTCGTCTCATCGGAATAGACTGAATGGTCAGTAAATCGTTCAGACAGTGGTGTGATATCAATCAATCAATACCGGAAGTGTACTCCGGACGCGCTGTTGCACTCCCACTCGGCTGTTCCTCCACCTCAGCTCTAGGTGGCATGCTCATACACACACACACACACGTGTATTTGCATCGCTCATCTGGTTCACACAATAATTGTACTGCACGCAAAATGGACCACAACGATGACGTACCTGAACAACGAACACATAGCTATCACCCTTTATGGCTTGTTGTGCGGATGAGAAAACCGGCTAATAACAATTGTTGCACCCGTGGAAATCAGCGGGTGAAGACGAAATATTGTAGATCGGACTATCAAGAAATTAGCAAAACAAAGCATAGAGGTGCAAAGTTTCTGAAACAAAACGTGCTGATTTCGGAGTGAACCAAAGATCGTTGGATATTTTTTGTTGTTGTGAACCATACGCATTGACGAAAATTCTTATGATAAGTAATGAGGGGTTTGCAAAAACACCGTTTCTGAATGGGTTGAATGTTTGAAACGATCTACTAGTTCAAAGTCTGGCCCATGTGTACCAGTGATCCCTGAACCTTACCTGTTTTGCTTCCGTTTCAGTTCGCTCTTCAGCGCCCCTATGGCGCTTAACAGTATATTAAGGAATCCATAGGAAGGGAAGATTTTACCGGAATCAAACTAATAGTAGTTGCTGTGCGTGTGTTTGATGCAAATGAGCCGATGACTTATGCGGACTGGCATCACTGTTACACAATATCATAAACTGAATGAGACCTGTGGACCACAAATAGAGCATTCAATATGGGCAACTTCAATCTATTACCGGATCATGAAGAGGCGTGCGTGAAGCATGTGTTAAACATTGCCGTTGAAGTGCTTAATTTTCGCGACATTCATCATCTTCCGCGGATAAGACACAGCAAAACTCAGAGTAACTGATCACACCTGACAGGCGCAGTATGCACGAAAGGATTGGTGCTAGCACATCAGGATACCCTTTGTGGGAGCAAAATAACCACTGTTATGTTCTATAAACAGATAGTTCCGACATGACAGGCAAAAGGTCTTCGAACTCATATCGACACCACAGAACAAAGTTGGAATTTTTAACAGAGTTGACTGCAGGTGGCTCAATGTCAGAAGTGTTTGCTTGAGTGCAAAGGAGTCGAATGAGTGTCCCGTTAACACGTTAGTATCACGGAGAGATTTGCTTCCTGTCGTGTTTCTGTTTTCCACCATTCAGCCCTTGTCAAAATAGTTGTTGAAAAAGCATAATTTGTGATTTTTCAATTTCGTGCACAACCCCAAATGCTTTATTGCACGAATATTCATTACAATTTATTCAGCACAAATACAGCCAGCGACCCGAAAGGAACTATACCGTGTGGAAATACTGGTTTGGATCGCATCATTTCTTAACGTAAAACTAAGACAAATTAAAAAATTTCTGAGCAAGTACGTCTCCTCGAATTTGTTACGGCCAATTTGCTGACTTCCAAACGTAGAACAGCGCCATTGGAGGAAATGTACATCGAAACACCAAACGAAGTGTACGTGAGCAAAGTTTCGATCAGCTTTTTGCAGAAATAAAATGCAGGACGCGTTTATGAACGGTGTGTTCTCTTGAATATAACGAAAAGAATTAGTAGTGGTTCACATAAATGGTAAGACGAGACACCCATTTACAAATAAAACGAAATCAGATTTTCTTCAGTGATATTCAGAGTCGTAACTGGATTCGGTCTACAGTTCAGTTCAGTTTGTACAACCATTAACCACGCACTTTCGTGCGCCGGTTTTGGTTGCCTATTTGGATGAAGAATAGGAGAAGACACGCAAGTTGAAAGTAGAGTCCAACAGAAAATGGAAAATTTCAGTGGTCTAAGGTTGCGAAGAAACTGAGATGCACGGACGCCACTGTTTACGACGCTCAGCCATATCACTCAGTGTTTCTAACCACCGGTTACAATCATCCCAAGGTCCTTAGCGAGGAAGCCTAACGGGACCTATGTGACCCAGTCCCCTGGTTACCGCTTTGGTACCCCTGGTGCCAGATCTTAGTTTGACCACCCTTGGCTTTTTTCCAATCCCTGGATAATTATTGGTCGATACCCGAAGTCAACACTACTGATTCCACCCTGTCATTACATGGAATGCTCATTGGATAGGACCTTGATGGATTCCCCATTGCAGTTAGCTCCTATAAGACTTGAGGCTGATGATGCTGACTTTAATTGGTAGTGAGCCAACCTCGCATACGTCACGTCTCTCTCTACGGATCATTGAAGCTTGCTGTTGCAAAGAAGTCGCTTGTAAGGCGAAAAAATGTAACCATCTCTGGTATGACGAATGTATACGCTTAAATTGCGTCTCTTGTAAATCCTATTCTCTCACCTTCGTTGGACTAGCGATGAAATATGAAACAATGAATGTGAACTAAATAGACGCTGTTACTTCCATTTTTAACTTGTGTTACTTAAAGTGATTTGAAATTAGACTGCTAGTTGATAGTACTAATTAGGCACGAAAAGTTGTTTCATCCTAAACCCGATATTCAGTTTTGTTTTATAGGTAATCTGGTTGCGGAAGCCCAGGTACCACCTCGGTTTTATGAAGTTTGTTCATTAGTATAAGATAACTGCATTGAATGGAGGCGGTAGTTAGTATAAGGCGAGCACAGCGGAATGTTACGGGACGCGTAGCCAAGTTGCAGATAGTAAAAAAGTCATCTAGATGACTAACCGTGGATGGTTAGATATTGCTGTGTTGAATAATCGGTTGCAAATGATCGGGGACGATGCTAGCAGACGTTGAAGCTTTTCGCCAGGTAAGCGACTTCTCTGTAACAAGAAGCCGTAATGACTCGTGCTTGGCTTGCCAGTAACCACCGTCATCAATTGACTGCGAGCACCTGGCTGTAAAATGGTTTAGAGATGCATCCTAAACGAAGGCCGACTAGCACTGGGAGTATTATCTCGTGTCATATTCCCAAGATTCTTCATAAACATTTTCACGAAAACGAAGCATCCTCATTTAGGAGTAAGTTGCTGCACAAGAATAAGGTAGCCTTTGGTCGATTATTATTATTATGACAAATTAATAACCACGATGCACCAAGTACAAAGTTAAGATAATTAGAAGAGGCGTGATTTATTTGTTTCACTTTCAGTCTCCCTCACTGAAATAGATGAATCAAATCCTATCGGTCAAGATATTAATAACGAGTGGCTTAGTGTCACTTGAATCAGAAGATAAACCGTCTGAGTTCAGCTATGCAAGGCAGTACCTCACTAAATTAGTAAATCGCGATGTATGAAATTCAGTTTTTTAGATCCAATACGAAAACCGGGGATCACGGAGGAAAAATCCTGGTAGTCAGTAAACGAGTTAAGATTTAGTTAGTTAATCAGGTGAAATGATACCAATTGTTTCCCTTGATTTGATTGTTACTGTTAAACATTTTTCAATAGTACCTTTCGATGCCAGAAGTGCATAGGCACTCGTAATCAATTTAAAATAAAGGGAGAGATTCAAGAGAATGGTTATTTTTGCTCAGTAACTGTAAAGATTGGTGTTATATATATNTGGGGATATATATATATATATATATATATATATATATATCCCCAATAAAACCCGTATTCTCAGTTGGTATCTCACTCAACAGTACTTTTGTTTGTTTATAGAGAACTCAGTTCATTCCGACGGGACGGGCGTCGTGTTGCACACATCAATCCACGTTTTGGGAAGTTTATTGCCTGATTGTGAATCGAGTGCAATAAAAGTATACCTCTAGACACCTAACGACGGACAGTTTATCCAACCAGAGGTTATTAGATTGCAGATGGACGGTATCACTCAACGTTCAACGGATACACACAACCCATGGCGTGCTCAAGTTTGTGACTAAGAATGAAAGACAACTGCACGTGGCAATTGATTAGAGATTAACCAACAATTGCACCAAGTTGTAAGACGACTATAACTAACACCCAGAATTGATCAAATGGTGTCGAGGACCTGGCGGCGCACTGTATTCAGCACAAGTGCATATACCAGCTTCGAAGTATGTGGGATTCTACATCGATTATGTAGAACACTGTTTGGAGCGACAACAATGCTGCAATGCTACTGTCTACACAGAATTGGGACAACGGGAAAAGAAACACTGAAGCAAATTATAAAGAATAAGTAAATGTAATCGTAGAAGTCACGTGATTCGCAATTGAAATTCACTACAGACCAACTGTGGCTTTCAAATTTTGTTAGAGAGCATGAAAATTGCAAAATCCAGCGGTGGAGGGTTAGTTTACCCTGCAGCAGTTTCGATTTCATTTAACGCTCACGCATACAGGAGATAGCTTTCAATAAGCCCTCATTGATTTACCCCTTTTCCTTTGTATAATACACGAAATTATTTGTGTTATCTGTGTTATCCTGACAATGTCCGTATCTAACAGTTTGGGAACAAAAGATTTGCCGTATTCCGTCTCAGCAAGTAAGCATTCCGTCAAATCGTTTCATGAAAAAGCTAGGCGTTCGGTATCCTACACTATCCGAAAAGATTGACTGTTTGGATATTTATCCCAAAGAGTAAAAAACAGTTTGTGGTATACCAAAGCGTCTGATGGAAGTTAGTCCCAGTTATAAGTATTGATGACGAACGAATAAACAGACTAAGGAAGGTTTTCTGACAGATGATCAAAGCGTGATGAAATTACGCGAATTTCCGGAGTCCAACAAGTTAAGCAAACGTGGAGTAGGGGTTCGTGCATCAAGAAACATTAGGAGTATCATAGCAGTAGCAGAAGCCAAAACCCTGCATACTGTGGAGTAAGGTGAGGATTATCCAGAACAGCCTGTTTTTACAACCTAGAAGTAATCGGGAGAAGGACCCGAATAATCTTCGCATAGATAATCAGGAAAAAGGTAACATAGATCGTGAAAAAACCCACAGTTTTCGGTGAGAGAAGTGCGGAATCTAGATAGGGTAGAGTGACCGACACCGGATGATTAATGGCGATTCACATTTTTATCTCGACACGAGATAGAAAAAGACAGAATTACCGATCTCAATCACATGCAGTACTAAATCCATTATGCTTTGCATTTTGTCGTTTGATTACAGCGAAGCTAACATGGTAGCAACGTCCATTTCACACTAACCGCCTGGTACACAAAGCTGATCGATGAAAAGGTGAGCAAACTGTGACGCACGGTTAAACAAGACAGAATGAATAAACTACCAAGTTTGGAAACTACCGTTGCACTTGTGGCCAACCATGAATCAGTTTCGGTCTGAGGAAGCCTCTCAAAAGACCGAGCGATTATGCGAAGGAGATTCGTTTGGACATACCGTGCCAGACATTTAAATGACGCAAGGTTCACTAAATCAACAGATTAATAAGAAGAATTGTAACTACTATAAAGTAAGAGTGAGTACACCCTATTCAGTTGTTTGACAACAATGGGACGCAGCAGTGGGATGGCACCCAGAGTCAAAGGAATACATGATACATAAGACGAGCCGCAATCATGCACTTATTATATTGCACTGGTAAGTGCCTGATGCCAAATAGCCAACATGGCATCGACGAACCAGAATCCCAGATTAAACCGAATCCATAGAGCTGAATGATCGATTAATATGTGTGGAAGTCTGGAAAAGCGCAAATACAAAACGTGCGCATTTCTTGTGAATAATTTGGAAACAATACCAAGTAGTCGCATCAAAACACGTGAAGTCTATGACATGCTGGTTGTAGGTGGGTGTACATTCAAGCATTTGGCGAACTGTTTTCCTCGGTGAAATCAAACAGAATGGGCGATGCAAAAAAATACGGACCACACTGACTTGGGAAGGTAATACGTGGGCTAGATGGTAAATGAATAGGGGAGTATTGCGTACCACAGAGCTCGAGAAGGTGATCGATAGCGTGGCATAACCAGAACAAGGACATTTGGATCGGGATGTACACGCACACACACACACACACACACACACACACACACGAGACCAGAAACAGGTAAATCACATTACCTACGATAACTACAAAATGGGAATTTAAAAAGAAAAAAACAGAGTTCATTCAGAAAGAATCACAATCGGAAAGAAAATAGAGCAGGGACACTTACTTTCACACCCATACTCCACGACCCATTATAGGCATAATCATATTCTGTTGCCGTGGCTGCAGACTGCGCACAAGTTGCATCATTTTTCTGACAAGAAAATGAGTAATAAGGATGCACATCACATAATGAAGCTTACGAACCGAACAAATGGGTGCAGTTATAATTTCAATAGGGTGGGAGATTAAATAAAGACGGATAAGCTTCAATCGTTCCTGACCGACGACCAAACAACTGATTAGGTTCTGTTCAATCAACGAAGTATGGTGCCAGGTGGCTGCTTTGAGGTATTGTTGATCAAACTAATTCATACGCGATTCTCGTAAGAGAATCTCTCTCCTTTCTTATAAATTGGTAGGATAACCGATACACATTATTCGTTTGGAACTTATTTGCTTTTCCATACCAAATTCTAGAGTTGTGTTAACTCTGAGTCAAGGATCGAAACTCCACAATTAAAGATGAATGAAGCAACTTCTTTGGGTCGGAGGGTTTACAACTTTTAGGTTACTCATCTCCGAGGGATTTACATTCCGAAAGGGCAACCGTTATCGATTGACAGAAGCTGCCCAGTAGGAGCTGATGTTCACAGATCTAATAACAGTGGAGGTCAGTGGAACGGAGCCTTAATATGTCTAAACCATTGTTCCAGACTACAGTGCTGAATGTAAGTGTAACGTAGGACTCCTTAATTACACCCTGAGTAGACAGAAAAGATTGTGACTGTCACAAACAGCTGCAGTCTAACTGTTGGGCAAATCGCTCAAGTACCTTGAAATCAGACCAGGTTGATGGTATCATAAGCATCAATCATCTATGGAGTGGTATGGTATCTGGAATGAACTAAATGGGTAGATGTGGTAATTGAAATAGTATAACGCAATGTCTAACAGGAATGAAAATACACTTACGATTCTATGGTGAAAATGAAAGTACAGTCCACCCGAGAGAACGTTAGGGCTGCAAAAACGTCTATCGGATCATCATCATTATCATTCGTCACAATCTGCCTCTTATGTGCTTTACCTGAAGTTGCAGTACCACTTACATTGGCCGAACGAACCACAGGCTATCATAACCGATATCAAAACGTAATACCACGTGAATAGAAAAATCTATATCTCAATAAACCCGACAGCTATATTGATCGAAATTCAGGGTCATCGATTGCGAAACATGTGACCGCAAGGAAGAACACAGTTGACCCGATTTTATCGTCCGAGCGGTCGTTACGTAATCTAAAAGCAAAGCTTTCGACACGATGCAAAACTAAGATAATCGGATTAGACAATTCAGGTTTCTGAGCACCGTACCATAGGTATGATCTCAGCTCCTTTCATTCACATTCTTCTCTACCCTGAGCGTTTGTTCTCTATAGTTTTGAACACAATTCTGTATATTTTTGCATAAAATTATAAGAGTGAAGACAACTTTAAAATGCTACAGTAATTGCTTTTTATTTGAACTAATATATTGGATAAAGGGTACTCCATTCCTCGACATCTATCCAGAGTTGCCATATATTTTGAGGATTTTTATGGAAGAGATACGAAGCAGAAAGGCTCAGTATGAGTATCAAAAAACTACTTCAGTTCGCCGGGTCACCAGGTAGCAGTTGATATCACTGTGATCAGCACCAAGCCGACTGTTCCAATGAGTCTGCTCACACAGTGATTCTGTGTTGCGCGATTCAGATCACTAGCAGCTATAGAAGACCGGAGAGTCTGGATGCTGATCAGCAGTTTCGGTCATTACAAACTGCAGTACAACTTAAAGGCTAAGAAATATGAAGAAAACATCTTTTGACCCAGATAATCCGTTATTTTACTAATCAGTGATGACATTTTCAAAACACAGGCAAATACATAAAGGCCGTTGTACTAGTGTACTTCCAGTCACATGTCTATGTGATCGAGAAGTTCCACCCCATGAGCAACAATGGTACACGAGGTTGTCTTTTTCACTATTTCTGTTCACTTTCACATTAGATAAAACATCCCGAAGCAT